GACCTCTGAGGGGACAGAGCATGGAGGGGAGTATACCCAAGTTGGTGCCCGATGGTTGTACCTCTGAGGGAGCATGGGGAGGCTGGGTCCTTTATTACCCCAAGAGCTGGAGGCTGGAACCATAGTTGTCCAGTATGGTGGCCCCTACTGAGCTGAAAACACAAGGAGCCCTATCTCCCTACCTCCTGCCTTTCATTCTCCTCTGGTGCCCCCTATTGACAGAGCTCAGCAGGAAGCCAGCTGGCAAGGTGGTCTGGGAAATACATTAATAGTTAGGCTCCCAGCCCCAGGGCCATAGAGCAGGGTGCAGAAGTGGGGCTGGGAGACAAGAGGCAGAACGGGAAATGGGGACCTTTCTGTTGAGTAAAACCTTCAAGGGCACCCAGTTGAGGCCTGGGTGAATATCTAGGGCTCCCGATCACCAGCCTGAAGATACTTTTATTATACTCTATGCTTTTTATTTTAAGAAGGTCAATGACACAAGACAGTTGGGCATGCAGGAGAGTCCGCATGTCTTACTTTTTTCATCCTGCAGCAGTGGTGACTTTGTTGTCCTGGAAAGCCACTGGCGTGGTTGGGGGCAGAGGACAGAGGGGCAGAGGCTGACACACAGAAAGCCCAGTTGTGGCAGCAGTTGGTCTCTCTCCCAAGGAGGAGGACTTACGCACTCTGCCTTCCACCTTGGTAAAAGACATTTCATTCTTACAGTGAGTTTTTCAGCCCCGTCAGATCTTTCTTATAATGGCTGTTTCATCTTTTAGCTCCTGTATCATTTTGTATTCCTTAGATTGGGTTTCAACTTTCTCCTGAATCCCAATGATCTTTGTTCTTATCCATATTCTGAATTCTGTGTCTGTGATTTCAACCTGGTTAAGAACCATTAAGAACCAACTAGTGTGGTCATTTGGAGATGAGACACTCTGGCTTTTTGAGTTGCCAGAGTTTTTACACTGTATTTTGCTCATCTACATGGGCTGATGTTCCTTTAGTCTTTGAAGTTTGGATGGGTTTTTTTGATGCCCTTGGGCATTTGATTGTGGTATAAGTTGAGCTCTTTTGACTGGTTCTATCCTAGAAGATTTCAGAGGGCCAAGGCTCAGCTCAGCACCCGTGGGCTCTGTGCTTTAACTCTGGGGTGCTGGTAGGGATTTCCCAGCTTCGTTTTCTGGTCCCCTGCAGTTAGTAACCTGATGCACTGGAGGGGCTGAGGTGTTCCTGGTCTGGTGGCCCCAACACTGACATGGGGTGCTGGCCACAGCACTTGATAGGAGGGAGCTGGGGAAGTGGGACCTGCGCTTGCCCACGTGTGCCAGCAGCCATGGTGGTGTGTCAGGCTGCCTGTGCCGCAGCAGCGGTGGAGTCCCAGTGGAGGTGGGGAGGGCGGTGGGATGTGCCTTGCCATCAGCGCTAGGGCAGCAGGGTGCACATGCACATTGGCGTTTTGTGGGGAAGGGAGGTGAAGTCTGCCGATACGCGTGTGCCAGCTAGGCAGTGAGAGGGATCCGTGGGTGGGCGAGTGCTGACAACGTGGTGGGGGAGGCTGCTGGTCTGCTGGAGCTCTCCACAGGTTAGCTGCAGTCTGCCCTTGGAGGAGCTGTGATTGCCCCCCCACCCCCCCGGAAGCACCCTGTTTGGGCATCAAAGGCTGTGCTGGAAGCTGGTGTGACCATGCTGGGGCCTAGGAGATGCTGGCACGTGGTGGGTGGCGCTCAGATCAGACTGTCCTCATCCTGTGGGCAAGACCACCCGGCTCTGTGCAGGCCCAGCAGTCTCCCAAGGGCTAAAGCCACCTAGAAGGTCTTGGTGGGACTTGGGGGATGGGCATCCCTGGCCGTGCTCCACTGTACATGTTCCCACACCAAACCCGCTGGGCTCCACACGGGCTGGAGTCCTGCCCCTGTCACCTCTCAGCAGCTCTCCCTGCCAGCTTACGCATACGTGCAGGTGGCGGGGTCTCCTGCAGCTAGGATTTCAGAGGTCTGTGGCAAGAGCAGGCTGCTCCTTGCCTATTCAGCTCACCCCTTCCTTGGAAATGGCATTGGTAGAATTCAAGATGCAAGGATTCTTGTGCAGCAGAAGTAAAGGAATTCCGAGAGGGGTTGTGGTTTTGAATTTTCATGCCAAATATTTTTTTATCAACGTATTGTTTTTTCCCTAATATATACCTGGATACTGTATCCTTTCTAAACTAAAGGAGTATCTGTTCCACACAGAGCTTTGATAATCTGCAGTTGAGATATTTGGTTTTTTAGTTTTCAAAGTAGATGAGTTAACTACGATGGCGGTTTATATATTTGCTCAACACTTCCCGCAGATTCCAGACTTCCAGAGTAAGTTATAATTTGACGATTCTAAAAGTATGTTTCTGTCTTTTTCTCTTCCTCATCCTGTTCCAGAAGGATTTGAGGTATCTTACATAAATACATAAAATTTTCTTTTCTAATGGATAACCGAGGCAAAGGGAAAGTAGATGTAAGAAAAACAATATGAAGCCAGAGATTGAAAATCTTCCAAGTCAGTACCAACTCCAGCAAAGTACTGGCGAAAGAAACTGCTGGGCTTGACTTCAAGAATGTTCCCTGGTGTCTGTGACAACAGGAGAAGGCCTGAGGCCTGACATGGCTGCGATGTCCTCATCAGCAGGACATCGAGAGCCACCCTCCATTCCCACAGCAGCTGGAGACAGCTGGTCATGCGCAGAGCTTGGAGCGCTCCCCGGCTGGCCACATGCCCGCCCACCTGCACTTTAACCTCTCTGGTGAGGTCAGAATCCAGCACGTGTGTTGTTCTGAAATTAGTGTTTTTCTTCTTCTTTTTGAAGATGCTATCATCTGTGAATATTGGCATCCGTGCAACATTATCAAGCATATTTTTGCAGTGTAGGGAATTAAAGGTAGAAGTTTATTAGGGTTCTTTTCTCCCTGTAGGAAAAGGAATGATCGTCAAAAATAATGGCTGTGGGTCTCTGCTGGGGGAGTTGTTGAGATCAGGGAGCGAGGAGAAGGCTAAGTTGCCCCCTAACCCCCCCCCCCCCCGCCCCCCAATCCTGCCATTCTCACTTGCCAGCACCCCAGGAAGGATGTGCTGGGGAATTGCATTGGAAGGGAATGCAAGTCCACGGTCTCTGGTCTGCAGTTGCAAAATCCAGGGATTTCCACACTCGTTTTGTCGAAAGTCCTGCCCTGCACTGACATGAGGCTATTGAGCGAGTGTCATTATTTACTCCTTTACCCACTGCATGCATTTGCTAAGTGAGCATTTATTTCCCACCACCTGTGTGCTAGAGAATGGGGGAAAGGAAAGGAGCAAATGACAGTCATTAGTGGAAGCCTGTGAAAGCCACAGCGCCCCTGACCGTGGGGTTTACCTGTTACTTAGTATTCTGGGCATGTGTCAACTCACAGTGTGTCATTCTTTACAGCACCCTTTTAGGTTAGTTCTGCAAGGCCTAATTGAGAGGGAGGTACAGGTCTTCTTAGTTTTTGTTTGTAAACTTGAAATACACATACCCAGTACAGGACTTTTTATTTTTTCATACAGAGTCTTGCTCTGTCGCCCAGGCTGGAGTGCAGTGGCGTGATCTCGGCTCACTGCAACCTCTGCCGCCCGGGTTCAAGCAGTTGTCCTTGCCTCAGCCTCCTGAGTGGCTGGGATTATAGGCATGTACCACCATTTTTGTTTGTAAATTATGACCCATATCTCAGATTATTTAATAATCCAGTAGGGACCTCTTATCTGTGGTTTTACTTTCCATAGTTTCATTTACTTGTGGTCAACCAGGGATCAAAAATTGGTGAGTACAGTACAATAAGATACTTTGAGAGCGAGACTCATTCAGATAACATTTACTACAGTGTGTTGTTACAATTCTGTTAGTTCCTGTTGTTAATTTCTTACTATGCCTAACTTATACATGACGCAGCACCACAGTTACGTATGCAGAGGACATGACACAGCACAGGAGATGTAGGGCTCGGTAGTGTCTGCGGTTTCAGGCATTCCCTGGGGGTGTTGGAACATATCCCCTACAGATACAGAGGGTCTGCTGTATCCACTGTTGGTTCTGCAATGCTTGGGTCACTTTATGAAGCCGATTGGTGCATATGTAGACTGCGTGCAGCAGAGATGTGTCCATAGAGGCTACTGCTAACGTAGAATCAATCGCTATCAAATGAAAGAACAGCCTTCCTGTTTACATTCAGATTCTGAAAATGCATGCTGTTCATATCAACCTCTTGTGTCAGTCAGCGGTGTTTCCATGTACAAAGACTATGGCAGCTTTGGACCTGTAGGTGTGAGCTTTTTAATAACAAGAGCTGTTTATCAAAGTAACATTTTACAGGGATATAGGCTATCTAAAGACTCAATGGAGAATTACACATTTACTACTAAACCTACCGATAACCCTGCTACTACTCTAGTAGGCTGGAAAAGTCGACTACCACTGCTAATGCTGCTAAGATTTCCTTCTGATTGTGTGTTTTTTAAAGAAAGCATAGTGTGTTTATGCCTGCCAACGTTTATGGCTCCTGGTTCCTGAGTCTGAGAAGAGTTACTGGGATGCCGGCCCCCAGGGGAGCCCTGTCTCCTCTGCCCAGCTTCCTTCGTCCAGTTATCCTCCCTGGCTGTGGCCTTTCAGACCCTTGCCCACTGGGTCCACGCCTCCTTTCCTTTACATGCTTGCGTGGCTCTCCATGCTCCTCTGAAGTGGGGTGGGTTTTCTCTTCTGGCCCCTCGACCCCACTGGCCTCCCCGGCTGTGGAGGGTGTTGGGTGTGGCCCCCCCATCTGGCCTCATAGCTCTTGCCCATCTGTTCGGTCAGCTCCGCCCCGCGTGAGCGAACTCGGCATCCACGCGATGGTGGAGATCGTGGGGTGCTGGCACCCCTAGGCCTGTCGAGACCGGCCACTCTCTTGGGCAGGCTCGGCAGAAGCCTTTTGGCTGCACGCTTTTAGAAGTCAGTAAGCCAAGGACCGTGCAAATATCTCATTGTTTTCTAGAAAAGAAACCGAAGCGCAGCAGGGCTTCCCAAGACTGGCGGGAGCGGAGGAACGCCATCCAACTCACCAGCGAGCACACGGTGGAGACCCTGGTGGTGGCCGATGCCGACATGGTGCAGTACCACGGGGCTGAGGCCGCCCAGAGGTTCATCCTGACCGTCATGAACATGGTGAGTCCAGAGCCGGGGACCTGAGGCGGGGTGGGGTGCTCTATTTTCTCCTTAATGAGAGATCTGGAAGTGGGGGCTGTGTCCTCATCTCCTCAAGTGAGGAGGATGCTGGGCTAGGGGATAGGAGAACGTAGCCTGGTGATTCCCAGGCATCGAGGAGGGCAGGTACCTGGGGGGCATCCTGATGGGAGTGCGCCTGCCCCTGGCTCCACACTGGAGTAGTGTGGAAGTGCCCAGATCTGCTCAGTGACGGGACCACCTGTTACTGGAAGGCTTCCCAAAAGCTGTGCTGTGGTTTCGGACATCCCCTGGGGGTGTTGGAACATATCCCCACAGATACGGAGGGCCTGTGTGTCTACTTTTGGTCTGGAATGATTGGGTCACTTTATGAAGCCAGTTGGTGCATAGGTAGACTGTGTGTAGCAGAGATGTGTCCGTCTAGGCCACTGCTAACATGGAAATCGCTATCAAATGAAAGAACAGCCTCCTGTCTATATTCAGATTCTGAAAATACATGCTGTTCGTATCAACCTGCTGTGTGGGTCAGAGGTGTTTCCTCTCCGAGGGGCATTCAAAGTCACGTGAGTCCCAGACCCTGCTCCAAGGAGTCCATAGTCTAGCAGGAGGGACAAAATCCAACCCCTCTGGATAAAAGAGCTTACCGTGCGCCGAGAGGCGCTGGCGAGAAGTGTGGAGAGAGCTTGCCAAGGCTGATGTTAGGAAGAACAGGCCAGCAGCCGCGTGCAGGGTGGATTGGAATGGGAAGCAGTGTCGTGGAGCATTGGGGCTGGAGCGTGTGTGGAAGAGCGTTGGAGTGGGAACGGAGGAGGGGCTGGGGTGAGACGAAGGGCCTGCAGGAACTGGTGACTGGCAGGATGTGAGGGATGGAAGAGGAGGTGAGAGAAATCCAGGCTCCAGTATCCAGGCTTCAGGCTGGGCCTCTGGGCGGGTGGCAGAGCCATTGGCTGAGAAAAGACGAGCAATGAGTTTGGGGCCACAGCGAAGAGTTTCCATTCTGGACAAGCGAGGACATCAGGACAGAAATCTTGGTGGAAAAGAAGGAGCTGAGGCTTTTCAGCCCACAGCTGGCAGCTGAAGTCAGGGGGTGACCGGCACTGCCTGGCTGACAGGTGTCAGTGAGTAAAAAGCGGATCCGTGACAGCCCGCAGAGCAGCAGCCCTGGGGGGACAGGGCAGGACCTGGGAGGAGGTTGTCCTGACGAAGGGGTGACAGGTGCAGGAGACTGGCCAGCGGTGCCAGATGGAACGGTGTTGGGGAGCGTTGCGGTAGACGCTGGATGAGGACAAACTGAAAAGGGAATGGGAAATGAGAAGTGGGAACCGCACTTGCCGATCTCGGCTGACGGAGAGGAGACCACCGCCGAGTCAGGTGGAATCTGGGTCGAAGGGAACTTTGTAGAGGGAGAGCAGTACCGAGGTTCGGAGTGTGAGGCTTAGCCTCAGGCCCGGGCCGGACTCCTGCCCAGCTGCTCATGGCAGAGACCGTCTCTCAGCTGCTTCTCTGCAGCGGGCCGGGGATTTGGCTCTGGTCGTCGTGAGTGCTCGGTGCCTGGCTACAGACGGTCATGCCGTTCATGGAAGGGGGCGAGGCACGAGGACAGGGCAAGCTTAAACCTTGTCGTGGGTACAGTGGGGAGTGACCCAGGGCCTGAGTTTTCGGGGGGAACAGCAGCAGTGGGTTGTGTTGTGGGAGAGGGAGATGGCGTGCCTGTCCCTGGAACCTGTAGCTGCAGCCAAGGTCTTGAGGTCTAGGGTGGGTGCAGAGCCAGGCCTCAGGCACCCATGTCTGCCTGGTGTGATGAGCTCTGGAGCTCAGGGGTGAGTGCTGGGGAGGGGTTGCCTCTGGCAGGAAGCCCAAGGGAGGGGCTCAGCGTGCTGGCGGGGAGCGGAGGGCTGCAGTCCTTGTGGCTGACAGGGTCTGCAGGTGGCTCTTGGAGCATGTGTGGAGGTTACGTTGCTGAGAGGGGCCTCTAGGTTTCAGAGGTGGACTGGGTGGGGCTGTGGATGGAAAAGGACATGGAAGCCGGATGAACCCCCAGTGTACCATTCCCGCTGGGATCTCAGCTCTCGCGGTTGAGTAGCTGGGGCTGTGGTGGCTGGGAGGCCTGGCAGCACACGGCGGACTGGATGGAGGATACCAGCTCTGAGTCTCCCCTTGTGGAGATGGGACCCCACAGCTTGTTTCCCAGAGGCCGAAGGAGGCCCAAGAGCAGGGAGGCTCAGGGATACTGCCCGGGTCACACAGGAAGTCACTGGCAGGGCTGTGACCACCATGTCCAGCTTTTCCCCTAAGCAGCCACAGGGAAATCAGTGTTGACCCCAATCCTGGGCCCAGTGGGTGTGGGGACCCCCACGACAATCCCGCTTGTTGTGAGGACAAATCTCTGGTACTCTGTCCTCCATTTTGTTGAAGACTTTCCAGGACTGGCTTTGGGACGTGTCTCTGTTTGTAGGGAGCTCCCTCTATCTCGTCCAGGCCCCTCACCCCTGCTGTGCCCTGAAGCAAGACTGCTTTGGCGGTGCTCAGAGAGCAGAGGCCTCATGTTGAGCTGAGACCCACGTGTTTCCTCACAAGCCAGGCTCTAATGCAGGGCACACTTGCCAGTCAGGCCCCCGGGACCCTGGGCCAGGGTTCTGCTTTCTGACAAGGCCTCAGCGGGCATGTGAGGGTGCCAGGCGGCTCCCACCCCTCCGTCAGAGTCATCAACTCTGGAATTTCCATTAACTTAAAAAAATGCTTTTGGCACGTTTCTATTTTTTTTTTTTTAATTGTGGTAAAATACGTATGTCATGTAAAATTCACCATTGGAATCATTTTTATGTGTTCCAGCTAGTGGCCTAAAGCACATTCATCTTGTCGTGCGACTGTCACCACCATCTACCTTCAGAACTTTTTCACGGTCTCCAAATCAGAAACTTCCTACCCATTCAACACTGTCTCCCCGTCTCCATCTCCCCCAGCCCCTGCCAGCCTCCATTCTCTCTGTCTGTATGGCTTTGATGACTCTAGATACCTCCTAGCAGTGGAATCATGCAGTATTTATCCTTTTGTGGACAGACGGCTCATTTCACTCAGCATGATGTCCACAAAGTTCATCCATGTTGTGGCTTGTGTCAGGATTGCTTCCTTTTTGAGGATGAGTATTATCCCATTGCATGGACGTGCACCACATTTTGCTTCTCCATTCATCCATCGGTGGATGCCTGGGCTGTTTCCACCTTTTGCTGTTAGGACTAACTCAGCCGTGAATGTGGGTGTGCAAATTTCTGTTCAAGTCCCTGCTTTCAGTTCTTTTGGGCATATACCTGGAAATGGAATTGCTTTGGTTAACTTTTGATGGTGCTCATTTCTGAGAAATAGTTCTTCATGAGCACAAGCCCGGGTCTCTCCGGTGGCCGGTTAATGATGGGCTGTGTGGCCCGGAGCATGCCGGAGAGGAGGCTGAAGGGGCTGGGCTCTGCAGCAGACCCTTTCATCTGCAGATTATTTTCTCTCTCTGTCTTTTTTTAATTATCCAGGGCACAAGTGCAGGGAATAAACATTCATTACAGCAGCTAAGGCAGTAATAAGGCAGAGCTTCTGCTTTGATATTTGCTTTCATAATTTATCATCCAGGCAGGGGTGGCTCTTTTACTCCAGGGAGGGAGCGGGGAGGGATGGGGTTGGTACACGGAGATGGGCCCTCCCACCCTGCACCCCTCGTGGGCTGTAAACACTGAGGGGCTCTGTTTCTTGATTTTGATTGAACACCCTTCACCCCCTTCAGCAGCGTCTACTAAGACAGCAGAGGCTTAAGAGCCGGGGGCCGAGGGCAGACCTGGGGCCAACATGTGAGGTTTGGATTGAGATGTTTCCTGATGAGGCCTGCCTAGTAAGGGCGAACCCGCTGTGAGAAGGGCCGGGTGTGGTGACACTGAGCCCTTCTGTCATCTGTACTTGGGGTTTCCGGGTCCTTTTGATCCACGACAGAAGACAAATGGAAGCAGAGTCCTGAGACCTCTCGCACGGGTGGGCTGACACGGCAGCAGCCCCTTCTTGCCACGCTAGCCCTGGCCCACCATTCGGTAAATTGAAAAACAAGTTCCGTTCAGACATGACACCTTGTTTCAACAAGACCGCCTCCACCGGCCCCTCCCTTCCTGAATCCCGCAAATCCTAGTTTAGGAAATCCAAAGAATTCTCTCCTGCCTGTGGCTGTTTTAGAAATGGTTTTCTGTTAGCAAGTGAGATACCCTTTAAGCCGGGAGGAAGGGAAAGGCTTGTGGCTGGGCCAGGAGGCCTGTCATTAGAGGAGCCCCCCACAGCAGAGAGGAGAAGGTGGTGCCAGCAAGCCCATCTGTTTCCCTCCAGAGCATGTTTTCTGTGGGGCTGTGGGATGGGAGTGGCTCTGTCTCCTTAACCCCTCCAGGTTTGGAAGGAAACCTGCTAGAGTTGGTTGCCACCTTCATTCCAACACATTTCTCTCTGGGTTGTGGGAAATAGCACACAGACCCTCCCTCCTGGGTCTGTGTCGTAAGAGGCCTGGCTCACTCGTGTGTGCTGCCCTGACTGCCAAGGCAGAACCCAGACAAGCCCCTGTCCCCAAGGCAGACCAGGGGCCAGCAGTGCCTCAGAGAGCTGATAACGTGGCCAGAGCTGGGAGAATGTGGCATCAAGTGTTTGCTCCAGATTTTTATAGCTTCTCATGGTTTTGATAGATTAGTGTCAACCACCAGCCCCAAGGGAAGACACGAATGGCTTCGATGTACCAGCCATCCCAGACAGCACAAAGGTGCCTTCACGTTACTGCCTTCTCACACCTGGTGGACTTTGGCATTCCCATTTTATAGAGAAGGAAGTGGAAGCTTGGGGAGATGACACAGCCAGGGTGCAGAGCCTGTGAGTACTCAGTAGGGCAAGGACTCCAGCTCAGGACCTAGGGACCCCACTTCACGTTGTCGAAGGTGACAAGCATGTCTGGAACCCATTATTTCTTTCTG